AAATAAACACATAGTGAGAAGTGACACTGACACTAGGTACTAACTAAGAAACTATCACTTCGTTTTCAAGCAAACAAAAAGCTTCCACATAATCAACTGTCTCTATTTGGTCTCTATTTGGTATAGCTAAATACTGCATTAATATCCGAGCATTCTTTAAAGTTGGCTTTACACATGAACAAGCTGTCGTCTGCAAAAAGGAGATGTTGAATCGATGGGCAGCTCTCTGTCAAGCGTAAACCGGTGAGTCTGCCTTCAATCTCCGCCTTATTCATAATATGCACCAATGCTTCAGCACATAATATGAAAAGGAAGGGTGACAATGGATCACCTTGTCGTATACCTCTTTCCGGTTTAATAAAACCATAAGATCCACCATTCATTATAACAGAATATGAGACGGATCTCACACAACTCATTATCCAAAGAACCACCTTAATATTAAAACCAAGCTTAAGAAGTAATTCCTCAAGGAAATTCCACTCCACTCTATCATATGCTTTTGACATATCGGTTTTAATCGCTAGGAAGTCTTCATCGCAACGTGGATTGGTACGCAACGCATGAACCATTTCATGTGCTAGGAGGATGTTATCGGAAATTAGGCGTCCTGAGACAAAGGCACCTTGAGTGTCCGACACGATCACGGGTAAAAACTTCTTAATCCGAGAACAAAGTACCTTAGAGACGATTTTATACATGACAGAACAGAGACTTATGGGCCTTAAATCCGTCATCTTGGAGGCATTAGGTTTTTTGGGAAGTAGACAAATCTGAGTGAAATTCCATTCCGAAGGAAGAACACCCGATTCAAAAAACTGTTGAACCTCTTGGATCACTTGAGGTCCTACAATATCCCAATACTTTTGATAAAAATGTCCAGACATACCATCCGCTCCAGGTGTACTATCTCCTTTGATACTAAAGACTGCCATACGGATTTCCTCACCAGTTACCGGTCTAGTGAGGTCAACATTCATTTGATTTGCGTTAATGGGAAGGTTTCTGATTCAATCACAAAAAGGATTTCGCCAAAATACGATCGCATCCATCAGACTTCATCACTGTGATTGATTGATCAATAATTGGATTGATTCTATTTTGAAATCGTAAAAGCTCTCCATAGAGACGACGAAGCTGTTTGTTTTGAGTCGGAATAGTTGTCGAGAGAGAAAAATAAAGCTTCTATTTGTAGTGGTTAAGACTTAAGAATATGTAATTTACCAAAATACCCTGCTTTATTCCATTAAACCATTTGGATTTAAAATTAAAAATGATATTTTCCCCCCCTAATCTGAATATTTTTGGTCCGTTAAAAGTTAAAACACTCTTTACAAAATTCAAACTACATTTCGAATCACATGGGAGTATTTTCCCCCCTAATCTGAGTATTTCCGGTTTGTTTTGTAAACCGAAATTTAATTAACAATTGAATATATACACATTGATCCTTGACTTTGTCTACCGCTTTTTAAAACCAACTCCCTGAATTTTTTTGTATTTTCGATTTCTATTCCTATGTTTTATTTATAAACAATAATATCAAACTTCTTCCACATTCCTAGAAGATAGGCTGAAATTTCTTTTATTTCGTCTTTTAGCCCTATATTTTTATTGTTACATAATAACACCAAAATTTTTCTACCTTCATAGGAGATGGCTGTCGATGTCAAGATTCACGCTAAGTATATTTGTATGTTTCAGTTAATAAATTATACTTAAAAAGGAAGGAATTACTATCAAGAATTAATAGGAATTTAAATGAATAATCGTAGTGCTTTATTGGAAATGAGTTAGTATAAGTGCTAAATTAGAGAATGTTAATTGAGCACCAAGTAATGAGCTAAAGAGTTCTTAGGTATTAATTGAGCACCAAGTAATGAGCTCGTTCTGCTTCCCTCGCTAAACTAATGTCTTCGTTGATGCACCAAGTATTCTCAAATGCACATTGTTATAATTTATTATTTTGTGCACAACACACCAAATGCATTTCTATCATTTAAACTTTTAATATGTTTAGTTGAGAACTTGAGACTCAAATTTGGCATTTTGATATGAAAAAATGTTTATTTCCTCTAGAAAGCAACTAAAGTAATACATTTAACTCACGTTACATTAATCTAAAATAAAAATATACTAGATAACAACCCGCACGATGTGCGGGATGAAGTGATTCAATTAAAATTATTATCCGGGATCCAAGATCTGTTTGTGTAAAACGAAACATGTTACAATTTTTTTTTGTTTTATTCCAATTTGGGAATATTTCATATAAGAATATGTTTTACCCGTGATATATTTGAACCTTGAATAAAGCTTCAACGTGATAAAAAAGTATTGACGAAATGTTACCATTTATGGCAATATGTCTTTTCGTATGTTTTAAAGATTTCGAGATTTTGTAGTATAAAAAGAATTTTTTTTTTTTTTAATAAGTATAAGAAATCCAAATTTAGCAAAGATGAGATTTGATAGTTTTCAAGCTAAGATTTTGTAGTGTTCCAAATCTAAGATTCTTAGATTATGAATGGATTATTTACGAAATGGTTATAATGTGGCCAGATTTTGGTTTATATACAAATGTGATTATAATGTTTTTCTTCAAAAAGTTAGAACTCCTCAAAAAAATAGGATTTTAAGTATTCGTAACATATATAGAAAGGAGATTATCTTATTTATTTAAGTAAAAAATTTATGAAAGATGTAAAAATTTTGTAGTTTTGAATTCGAGATTCTTGAACCAAATGTATATATTTTATCATTTAAATATAAACATAAATATAAACATAAATATAAATATAAATAAAAAGATTGTTTATCCATCCACTAAATAAAATTTATATAAATGTATATAAAGAAAATATAGTAATATAAGATAAACAAAAAGTGTATGTTTTTAATTATTAATGGGATATATGGATGTGTGAGACTAATGGCAAATTCTGTAAATAGTCTAATAAATCTTGGGTAATTATCTAAATAGAAGCCAAATTATTGTGAGAGCGACACATCAGCGTGGCAATCTTGTTAATAACACGTAAGTTTTTTTTAAAAAAATGTTTCTCTATTAATATATAGGGGATTATATATGAACGAAAATAATAGAATAGTTAATTGAACCGTACGCAGGGGCGGATCTACAGTATAAGGAGGTGGGGCACGTGCCCCACACTCATTATTAATAAATACTAAATTGTTCAACATATTATATAATTATCTCTTAGCTTAGTTGGAAGGAGTGCCCCATATTAAGTCTAGAGAGCTGGGTTCGATGCCCTAAATCTGTAATTGTTTTTCATTTTTTTTCTTTTCACATTTTTATTAGTTAAATATGATTTGTGCCCCATATAATTTTTCTCTCTAGATCCGCCACTGACCGTACGTCGTTATTTCAAACACGACTTGTGGGTAAAAAAATAGAAGAGTAAAGAAGAGAGGGAGACAAAAGAGGATGAGACAATGAAAAGAAAATGCCCCACACCTGAATTTTAGCCCCCAAATAACTCTTTCATTTCCTTTTGATTTGACACTCTCACTACAAAAAAAAGTGTGTATTACATCACATAAATAGTATCACAAAATTAAATGATATTATTTTAAATTACTTGTTAATAAGTGATACAAATTTTGTGGTTTAACATCAATTATAATAACTGATATCATTTTTGATTTGTTTTACATCGAGTCAATAAAATTGATAGAAATCTATATTGGTTTACATCACTTGTAAAGAATTGACACAAATATATGAATTGACATCAATTAAGTAATCGATATATTCACTAATTTTTGTTAACATCATTTAAAAAATGATAGAAATTTTACATCAATAAGAAAAGATGCTAATTATATGAGTTAGCTTCAGTTTCTAAAAATGATGTAATTATTTACTCATTTTACATCTGTGACTACAAGAATATAACTATCTACATATACATTTTTACAGTACTTTTTTGCTTTAATTCTTTTGGATCCGGGTTTGACCCGGTTTTAGTCTATCCGGATCTTGGATAAGCAATTTTAGGGATGTTGTAATAAAAACAAACGAATATTTTGAGTATAATTGCTATAACAATTCCGTTTAATGTTTCTTTAATTACAAATAAGTTACCTATTTTAATGGTAAATAATCTTTCATATTAATAACCCTAATAAATAGCCGATTTTAATGGAAAATCGTTTTTCATATTTATGCTCATAATAAATGTCCAGATTTTAACTATATATATATATATATATATATATATATATTTTAAAGAAAAAAATGTATTTATTTTTTAACAATATATATATATATATATATATATATATATATATATATATATCTATATATACATTTTTGGAGAAGATTTGGTTCAAAAAATCCTTTTACAATTTTGTATTTGTACATTTAGTCCCTACAAAAATAATCTGACAAAAATATTGTATTAAGCAAATTTTACAAAACAATAAATTAACTCACTAAACATTCCTAATTTTTCCTAACCTCGATTTGAGTTTAAAATATATGGAAATCAAATATTTAATTTTAAATGCTATTGATAATCAAAATATCGATCATATCTACTAAATATAAACTACTAAAACAATAAAATCAAAATCAAATCTAAATTAGTATTATATAAATCGAAATTAAATGATTGATTTAGTAAATATAGAAATCATATATATTTACATAACAAACATATATTTACAGAGCAAATAGTTTCCTATTTTAATGCTAAAGATTTTATTGTATTTAACATTTGTTTCCTACAAAAGTTGAACAATATTAATTGAATATCAGTCTCAAATAAACAAATTGGAAATGTCACATCACTAAACGATTTTATCCTTATTTGATCAAGCATATACGTAGCATATATTTTTTTCTGACGATTTAAAGATTTTCAAAGATATCAAATTCTTGCTCATCAAGATTTTGAATATTCTCTAACCTAAAACCCTACTAACTATCAAAACACTATAAATACTCACTCATTTCTCCAATCTCTAAACACAAACAAAAATCTACTGGTTTTTTGTGTGGTTTACGTGATTTGTATATCTTATATTTGTACTATGTAAGTATGGATCTAACTTTATGCTGTACATTGCTTTGGATTTTTCAGGAGAATGGATATCAGTTGCTGTTTCAGAGCGCTCGTGCCATCGTTCAGGCATATCTAACGAGAAGTTTCTTAAATAATCTGAAGCAGGTAAGAGTGATATCATTTTACTTGTGAATTGGCACTTAATCCATATGTAATCGTAATTAACAACAGAAGCTTAGGGAGCTGAAATGATGATGTGTGAGGCTACTATAGCCTGTTGTTATGATATCCCTCTGCTACTTATGGAATCATGTTTTCTTACTGGCTGCAGGACGAAAAAGCTCTACCAAATGGCCCTGTGGTAATTTTGGTACTTGTAATCTTAGTTTAAGCCTTGGATTGAGACATTTTACTTGTATGGTATGGATGATTTATGAAATGTAAATATTTTATATAAATTTCAAAAGAGGTTTTCGCAAATGTGAAATAATATGCACATAAAACGTAAGTATTATTGCATAAAATAAGAGTCATAACAAAATATATTATAGCGTTTAAAATGAGCATCTAACATAGCATGAAAAATGACTTATCACATAATTTATAACAAATAGAAAGGCGATATAACAAAGCGTTTTACTAATGCTATGGTAGAGTACTCTATCATAGCATACGGAAAAAAAGCTATCGTATATGGGGGGTCTACCATAACAGGGGCATAAGACAGCGTTTATGAAAATGCTATTGATGACATATAATAGCTCTTCTCTCTTGCTAATAATGTAGATATTTCTTGTAGTGTTTGAAAACATTTCCACTTTTTTCGGCAAAACTCGTGTTTCTTCATGCTCTCGCCGTCCACTGAAATCGTTTTCTTCCCCTTTCGTTGTGAGATGTTTGAGTGAAAACGAGAGAAGAAGGTTGAGAAATAGATCGATTGCTGCTACTTTACACAAACAAGTGAAGAAAGAGATCTTGGATAACAATCCCGACAAAGCCATTTTCATCTTTGATGAGTGGAAAGTTGGAAAACTTCCTCTGTTTGAAGATGAAAAAACAACCGGAGAAATAATAGCTATGTCAAAGGGAGAGTTCGAAATTTACGTTTGTGAGAAGTATTTAGACGCACTACAGGAAAATCAGGCATTGATAGCGTCCAAAAAACGCTATTTATCGTAAACGTAGCGTATTTAGAAATGCTATATCATCGACCGCATTTTAACAAACGTTATCTAAAACTTAAGGGTATGTCAACTATAGCAAAAAGGAATTCAACGTTATACTATATTGCTATCAATACTTCAATTTCTTGTAGTGACGACCCATCCCAAATGAAGAAAACGGAGAAGATTGGAAATAAGAAGAGGATGAAGGTCATGAAGCCGAAGCAGGAGAAAAATGTGGGTTCGTCCAACACGACGCAGGATGAGGAAACGGACAAGGATCTGAAGAAAAATGTGGCTTCGCTTCCGGATGAGAACATGGAGAAGCTTGTGAAGGAAGAATCTGCGACTCCGGATGAAGAATCAGAGAAGGATGTGAAGGAAGCAGCTTGATGATGAGATGCAGATGAGAGAAACCGAGGAAAGGTAAAAGTTGAAGAATGGGTTTTTTGTTTTGTCGTCGTTTTTGTAAAATCTATCTGGATTGGTGTTTGTGTTTAATAAATGGTTGATCTTTAACCTTTCTCTATATATCTGAATCGTTTTCATCAAATTGGTGTTTTAAAGAATATCAACCATGATAAGGATTTAACACTATAGCAGTACGTGAGAAAGAAAAAGAGTTTCTGTAAAGTCTAATTTCACCCTCCTCCTTCTTCCTCCCTTCTCCAAGCTTTTGAGTTTCGATCTCCAAAAAGTTTGAATTTTTCGTCGAATTAAATTGGAAGCGGAAGATATTTAGACGACCCTTTAGCATTCACTAGGAACCCACCGTCCTCGTCGTCTCTCATCCCCGAATCTAGCTTCCTCGAAGCGTCGGAGTTCGATCCTCTGTTCCGTTGTATCGGCGAGTAAGAGTATTACGAAGAAAGACAAGATATTTGTTTTGAGTCCTGTTTGATTATTAAATTCCAGAATTAAATGTGATTTCAATGGACTTAGGTCTGATGATTTCTGTAATTGAATATGCATTAGTCTGTAATTCTAACTTAAGGGATACTAAAAAGCAAATCCCAAATTTGTGATATGAGTTATGAAAATATAATTTGAGACAGAAAAAACAGAGAGAAAAAAACTGTGATTTCTCTATGAAAATTCCACAAATTTGCAATTGAAGCCATTGACTTTTGATTTCGAGTTATTGCTTAGATACTGATTTCGAGTTCTTAATTAGATGCCAAAATTAGAGTTATTGCTTAATGTTTTGGGTTTTATAGACTCTGTGTATGTGTAGACAAAAACTGATGGAGACACTGACTGTGGATGAAAATTCTATGTAAGTTTTTTCTGTTGGTCTTGTGAGTTGAGTTTACTTGTTCTGTGAAGTTGATTGATCCCGATAAGTGATGAATTGAATGGAACAGGGTTGGTCTTCAGCGTTCTGGAGCGGCTTTGTGCAAAGAGCAAGCTATGGCTCCAATGTGACATCTCCGGCGAAGACGTAAATAGCGTAAACTACATTGATTTTTTCTTTATTATTGGAGCTTTGATCGTAGAGAAGAAACGTGTGGTGGGCCGCTTATGTGTTTACAATAATATAGTTATGATGTTATTATCACGTGAGATTATGGGGGTGTCTTATGTGGCCATCAATTCCATGTGTCTCTTTCTCAATACGGATGAAGAAGCAGTGAAGCACTAATGACAAAAACTTTCCCAGATATGATTGTAATGTTTTATCTCTCTTCTAGGTGTATTTGAATCAGTTTCTGAACCTTAGAAGCATATACTGAGTTTAATGATGTTGATGCTCTTGAATTAGGTAGGGTCTTTGTTTCTGTGTTGGAATCAGTTTCTTAATTGTGAACTTTTATGATCATTACATGAAGTAATCATGTTTCTTTTTTGTAGTGCTATGGAATTGAGGTTGATTCTCTTTGGGCGGCACCACAAGGCCATTCTCTCATCCCTGTAAACTCAGCATTTTTTGTTTTTTTGGTAAGTCATAAACTCTGCAACTTAATACCACTATTTCAATTTTTTATCAATTGAAACTGAAAACATGAACCCACATTAGATAAAATGGTGTTTTTTTTTTTATCAACAAGTGAGCATATATGATTGTTTTTGAGTTATATGATTGGCTAGTTTACAGCAATTTTGGAAGTTGTAGAAGCTATGGAATTTTTTGTGTAGTAAAATGGTGTTTTGGATGAAGTTGTGATCATATATTGAGCTCTAAAGATGATGAAGGAAGTGATGGAGAGAATAAGAAGAAGAAATCAAAAACAGATGAGGCTAAAGAGTTACTTGCAAAGTATGGTGGTGCTTATCTCGCTACATCCATTACTCTTTCTCTCATTTCCTTCTCACTCTGCTATGTCCTTGTGACGTCCGGTGTTGATGTTAAAGCTCTTCTTTAAGAAGAAGGGATGTTTTGTAACAAACACGTCATTTATTTTCTATTGATGAGCTTCTAACTTTTATATAATGAATGCTCTTGTTTAAGTTACAAAATGCTCTTGTTACAACAATATATTATGAATGCAAGCTTCTTCTCTCATATATCTCAAAGTAAAACAATCAACAAAACTCAAAATTGTTCTTCTTCTTAAACCACAAAACCATCGTCCATCAAACAATCGAAAACAGATCAAGTATTGTAAGTTCGGTTTCAAATATTATGCGAGCATGTACCATAAAATTTCGAAACAATCAACAGAACAGTTAATCGTTTTTCCAAAAAAAAATTCGCACATCTATTTTAAAATGTTTCAAAATAATTTATGTTTAATATTTTATAATTTGCAATAGTTATTATTAAGTTGTATGAAATAAATAATTTTAAAATTTTTTTCAGAGAACCTTGTAAGAGAAACTACCATTGGAGTATTAAAAACTAAAAAAAAACAAAATTAAAAGTTCTCTTGTAACTATTTTTAAGAATTAATCATAAAAAAAATGGAGAGAGTCCATTGGATCCATTGGAGATGCTCTTAGATCTTAATGCGTTGTGAAGTCGTTTCTCCGGATTATTTTTGTTGAATCAGATTTGTGTTAGTTAGAAACGTGTTGATTTGTTTGAAGGTAAAGGTGCCAGAATACTCAATGTGGCTTCTTTATGATCTTGCATCAGTTTTTCTTTTTTTGTTATGCTCTGGATTATTTTTTACAATGCATGTGCCATTGTTATGTGAGGGAGATGATGAAACAGAGACATCAAAATAATGGGGATTTTCTGATATTTCTTGAAAGAATGATGCTTGTGAAGGATGTTGAGTGGTTACTAGATATGCTATAGAGAGAGACACACAAAGGTAGTAGAAAAGAACCTGTTGAAACCCAAAAGCAGACTCATGATGTAACTAAGCAAATAGAGATTTAGGATGGAACTAAGCAAAGGGTTCCGTTCCAAGATAAAACTAGTGACCATTACCAATGATGACCATGGTAATAATATAGGAGAAGAAAAGAAAAGACTCAGTTCCAAACTACGGTACTAATCTAGTTTTTGGGGTGGCATAAGGTAATTGCTTTTGAATGATGTAGGCATCACATCAGTAATGATGGTGGAATCATCCAGATGGACAAAGCCGCCTTCGTCACAGTCAAAGAGTGTGACAGTGTTAGGGCACAGTCCGGGAAAAAAGCTAGCAGGGACACAAAAAGGTTCAGACTTTGAAAGGAAAATGCAGAGATCTCCAATATCTTGAGTGTAAACCGCGTTTCCTTGTTCGTCAAGCTTGAACACCATTAAAGCTTGTGTTTTCATTTGCGCAATACCCTTGATGATCTTGCCAGAAGACTTCTTGTACCACTTAACCAAGAAAGTTTCACCAGCTGGTGACTCAACCAAGTGCTCGCTCTTGCAGCATGAATCCAGTAGCTTCTGTTTCGTCTTTGTCAGCTTGGGAAGGTTTTGAAACTGCAAACTCTGCAAATTATGCTTGTGTGTGCGGAGATCCCATGTTCCAATGAGGTGTCCTCCAGATCCGGGAATGCAAAACATGTTATCTTTCTTGGAGTACATGACACGAGATGAGTAGAAACAAGGGTTTTCGATTCTGATGTTGATCCACTCGGAGTTACTTTGAGCCGGTCTGCAAAAGCTGAGCTGAGGTCCCAAAAACTTGACAGCCACAACACAGTCTTCATCCTCAGGAGAAGATGCGGACAATGACACATTGGTAACGATTTGAGTTTGGCAATGAGGGAGAGTTACAAGAGGAGGCAGGGGAATGCGTTTCGGGTTTGTATCCGATGCAACCGGGTTTAGATCGTCTTGGAGACGCAGTAGTCCGTCGTCCTGACTCAAAGTAGCTATCCAGCCATGGGATGAACCGATGGTTACAAGTTCATTATCATACAACAACGCCATAGGCACCTTCTTATCCAAAGAAGTGCAGTCATCTTCATAAGGATTCAAAATCACGAGTTTTCCCTCTTTCGCAAGTCTTCCACAACGTTTAGCGCTGACGATGAAACAAGGAGGAGTTTGCAGCAAAGAAGATGATAAGCCATCATTAGAGAGAAGAGGAGATGATCTCACCAACACAGGTTTCCTCCGAAAGCATAGTAGCTTCAAGGGTTGGTTGAGAAGCAGCGCCATTGATAAGAAGTGTTTTAGGGGAAAGCGAGGCTGCAAGAGAATCAAATAAGAAAGAGTAAACAAAACAAAACCCTAGTTGATGAGATGTTCACATAAATAACCACCAAGATCCGATACAATCTTAATTGGATATCATTTTAATTAACCACGTTCAAACCTTATTATATGAAGTTTGTTTCTTCGAATAGTATTTTCCATATGCGAGTAAGTTCAATACTATTTTATATGAAGCTTATATATGTTGTTTAACGTGTAAAAAAGGTATTTTGGTTATTGTGTAAATTAACCTCATTAGATGAATTTGTTTATTAAATACTAGACGAGCTAAAGACTATGGATTTGTGACCTTGTAATTAAGTTTCTTTTGTATTAATTCTCAAGCTGCAATTAAAAAAAAAAAAATCTCAAGCTGTTAGTGTTTATGTGTCCTTTAGCTGATGTTTTTAGTGCAGGAGACTCTTGAATTTGTATGACTTTTCTGATTACTTGTCAAAAATGCTTTGGAACTACAGATTGATTTCAACAAGTTAATCGGCATGACAATTATCTAAACAAAGCTTATAGAGTTGAGATTATTGTCAAGAAAAATAACATGCTAAAATATGGAAACAGCGAAAAACATTAAAGATTCGAAATACTTTAAAATATCTGGTTATGATTCATGGTACCCCAAATTTTCTTGTTTCAAGTTGTTCTTATTCCCTCTAAAAGAGAAACTTCATTCGTCACACACTATTCACGTACTTGATTTAATTATAAATACTTATTTACATAACAATACATACTCCAGAATCAATATCCTCAAACTTTAGAACAACGTACAATGTGAGATGTACATGATTGAGATAAAGCTTGAAGCTAAGTCTGATTAAGAAGAAAGTTTGCAAAATGTGGGGAAGTCTCTATACGTGTCAGAGGGTTTGAGATCTGAGAATACTTGAAAGACACTGAAGCAGTCAGAGAGTCTCCC